TCCAGGGTCGGGACGGCGCCGAACTTCTCGAAGCCGACAATGATGTCATCATCCCAACCCCGGAGCCTCCGGACCACCGCTGCTTCGTCGGGGTCGACCTCGCAAACCTGGCTTTCGAAATCCAGGTCGTGCCGACCCGCCTTCTCGGCGAGGATGGCCCGGAAATCGTCGAGGGACAGCACCCCGGCATCCAGCCTCTGGAACAGCCAGTAGAGGTTGAAGGCCGCCGCCATGTCCATGCTCTCCCTCATCTCTTCGAAGTACTGAGCTTGGACCTCGGCAAAAGTTGCCGGCGGAGGGAGAGCAATGGGTTCACCGTCGATTTGTTTAGCGGCCTCCTTCAGGAGGGTGAGCTGAGAGGTCAACCTCTTCCCGTAATTTGTCAGCTCGGTGGCCTCCTCCTCGTGCTTCCTTTTCAGCTCGGCAATCTCGGCCGCGTGCAGTTCGGCGAGGTGAGCGAGGTCGGCTTTGTGCCTCTCCTCCAGCCCGTGAACCTCGTCGGCACGGCGCTTCTCGCTCTCCGAGAGCTCCATCGCCCTCTTCATCTCCACCTCCTCCATCTTTTGGGCCCACGCCGCCCTCTCGCGAGCCAGGTCCTCGGTGGCCTTGGCGGCCGCCCTCTCCGCCACGGCGGCAGCTCCGCGTTGGAGGACCAGCTCGTTCTCCAGGGACGAGATCCTCCTGATCTCGTCCTTCAGCTCGCTGATCCGCCCCTTTGAAGTGGCCAGATCCTCCTCGGCCCTGTCACGGGCGTCGACCTCCCGCTGCATGGCCACGGCGGCGTGGATCAGCTCGACCATGGTCCGGCCCATGGACGCCACCGAGTGTTGAATGAGCTGTGTCGGCGAGAGCATGGTCATCGCCGTCTCAGCGGTCGGGGTCCAAGAGGCCATCACGGCCTGCGCCGCGGACATCACCTCCCCCGGCAGACTGTGGGGATTGGGCAGCTCAAGTGGAATCGCCGACGCCGAGTCGATAAACCACTGGTCAGGAAACCCCTCCAGGCTCTTGGAGAGGCTAGCCTTGCGGCTAGGGTTCACGGGTATATACGTCGAGGAGCCGGCCTGGTGGACATAAGCCGACCTCTCGCCCGCGGTGGCGGCCCCCGGGACCTCAGCCACCTTCTTCTTCTTCGGGGACGGCGGGGCACTGTTCTGCACCCCGACCTCGTCCTCCGCAGGCTCCTCCGGCTCCTCCGCGAGGATCCGACGCTTCCTCTGACGGGCAGGCCCGCCCTGACTGGCGGCACCTCGGCCGTGGCCGGCGCCGGACTCAGAGACATTAGCCCGGCTCCTTCGTCCGCCTGCGAGAGCGGGGGCGGTAACGGTTGGGGCCGAGCTGGCAGGTACCTCGGCCTCTCGGGGAAGCGTGGCCCCGGAGGTTGGTTTCGGCGGAGCAGGGTCCGAAGCCCCCGTTGAGGTCGACGCTGGAGTCTTCCTCTTCGATTGCCTTGTCAAGAAATCCATACGGCTGGCCATCTTTCGGTTTTTTAGAGAGCTCGGATGTGCGCGCGCGTATTTGTTAGCTTCCTTCACCGAGCCGAATCCGCACTCGCGATGGAGAGGGTAGTACACTGTCAGACATTAACAAAATGCGAGAGTGAGAACAGAATGTAAGGGCACCTAAACACATGAGCGAGAAACTGAGGATAGAGGAGTACCGGGCTCGAAGTGTTTGCTGTTGTACTCGGGACAGAGATTGTGCTGGATCAAGCTCTCTTCCGCGACAAGACTTCGGTAGTTACGCCTGTCCGCAGAAAGTCCGAGCAGGGTTTCGACCTTTGCGACTAGCTCGTCACTTGGCTCAATATGGGGGTTGTGGACTGAAATGTAAACACCGACCTGTTAGCAGACAAGGACAGTTAATTAGAAGAGCGGAAATGAACGAAAATAAAGAACTTACAAGGGCCAGAGATGAAATCAGTCGACGGGTGCCGAGCCGCGTTCGGCGTCTTCCATTCGCCGCCGACCCAAAACCACTCCGGCATATAGCCATGCAGTGACTCTGGGACCTTGTGAATCAAGGACCTTTCTACGCCGGGAGATACCGAGCTATAATAATTGCCGGACTCCCCAGACCTCTTGAAATCGAAGAGGGCTTTCACCTCATCGCTAGTCGGGTCAGCCCAACCCTGCTGGCGGAAAAGGACTATAAGGCCGACCAGCCGGGCAAAGACTGTCGGGACGAACTGGCTGATGCCGATACCGATCCCACTAAGGATGTCACTCAAGGCTCCTGGCAAAGGGAATCGGAGACCGAGCAGGATGCTGGAACGATACACTCCGATACAGCCCGGCGGGGGGCAATGAATTCGCTCGCCGGCGTAGGGGGCGAAAACTCGGACCCCGGCACCGAAGCACGCTTTTCCCCGCAGTTGGGCGAGATCGACGTCCCTCAGTATCGACGCCGTCGTCCAGGCAGTTGCCGAGGCAGTAGACGGCCACACACGCGCAGGGCGGCGCCAACATCCGGGAGGAACCGCGGTGGCATTCTCGACGGAGGCGTCGGTCTCGGAATCCTCACGGCCCATGGGGACCCGCTCCCTCCCGTGGGTATCACCGCGGAGCGTCTCATCGACCAGCTCGGCGTCGACATCAGAGTCCTCGGAGGGGGCGGCGCAGGCCTCCTTCTCAACCTCGCCGCCGTCGGACCGGTCGGAGCCGAGGTCGATGATCTCGACAGTGGGAAAATCCGAAGGACCCTCGCGACGCGTACCCGCCCCCGCTGTCGCTGACGTAACGCGGACGGCCGAGATCGGCGTAACCCTGAGCGGTCGCATCATCTCCGCCGCCGGAGGGGAGTAAACCACCAACTCCCCCGTCTCCTCCGCCACGAATCCGCCATCTCCAGCAGGGAAGTTCGCCGCATAATCGGAAGAACTCGACATAATCGAAAATAAAACAGAAAAGGAAGGAAGATTTCGAAGGAAACGGAATTACCGGTACGAGGAGCGCCGAAAAGATTCGAAAGAATCTCGAAATTAGCCTCGGAACCCTTGCTGGAAAACTTAGTTGCTCAGAGAGTCAATTGCTCAGAAATTTCGGAATTCGTAAAAGCTTCTCAAGGAAGACGATGGGAATATATATACATACGGAGAACCAATCACAACGTCACACGTGGCACAGCATTTAAAATTCGAAATTAAGGACACGATCCAACGGTGGGGGGCGAAACGATCCGACGGTTTATGAACGGCCGCGTGAAAGCCACGCGCCCCAAAAGTCACCGCTTCGACGAAGCGACACGACGTTTGGAGAGCGCCAATAAATGGGCGACACGTGTAAAAGCTCTGAACCGGCACGCCTTTTCGTAACCGACAGGAAGCACAACGGTCACAACGCATTAAATGGGACGTCCATTCAGGTCAGAAGATAACGGGCAAAATTGTGGTTGTGATTTGCTCAAGTCCAGGTCATGTGCCGACCCCGAATGTGTTCTAAGGATGACGGCCTCACAGAGGATGCCGGAGCACACCCTTTCCGAGCCCGGGGGCCTATATGTTGACATCCGAGTTCGCCCATGAGACTGAACCGGACCACACAATTCCGAGAGCCGAACTAGAGATCCGGTCCACCCATAGAGTGCCGAGCTGGACCGAAAAACTTTTTGACCCTGGCATCGCCGTGAGACCATTCGTCAGTTCGGTATTTTCGATTACGACGCCACGGGTGCCGGGCTGAAAAATGACGGACCGAAAGAAGGATTCCCCAGGACCAGGGGAACAGATGAAGGTAAGATGCCGAGGTGCCGACTTGGGGTCCCAGGGCGGGCCTCCACAACGGAGAATGCCGGTCTCTATAATGGTATAATAATGCCACTTGGAGGACAATCATTGGATAAATGGATGGGACATCATAGCCTGTTGACCTACTCCCCTTAGCTAAGACATAAAGCCTGCCAGCATTAAATGCCTGTCACCTAATGATGAGGAAAACCTCAAATCGCATTTAATGCTGTCAGGGAGGCGCCGGACTGTCCTGCAGGAACACTGTACGACAAGACTGATGAACAGTACCTGAACAGTGTCACATTTAAGGCTACTATAAATAGCAACCCTTCTCATTTATTTTGGGTTGTTGAATCTCAACTGAAAAAGCTATCTCTCTCTACTTTCTCTCTCTAAAACTCCTGTAATTGCTCTGTAACAATTTGTAAGGATATTGCAAGTGCCGACCTCGTACGAGAGGCCGACCTCGCGATCTATTAATAAAGCTGCAATTAAACCGTATTCCCTTGTCTTTTCCTTATTCTCTTTTCATTATTTAATCTCTTTAACCGTTGACCGGAAACGCCCGTCAACATATACCAAATAATCAAAAATTCTGAACTATATGAGAAAATATTACCGATTTTTTTAATTAATTTATTTTTTTGGGGAAAAATAACAGTATTTGTCTATATATATTTTTTACGTATTGGTAGTGCACGTTAAGGTTATACGGATTGCACATAAGTGTCTAACAGATTGCACCAAACGAGATTCAACAAACATAAATTCGGTACGAAAATTTGTATTATTATTATTATTATTATTATTATTATTATTATTATTATTATTATTATTATTATTATATATCCATCGGTATGATGTCATTTTTTTATTCCAATAATCAAAATAAAAATAAACTATATTAAAATATTATGTTTTATATTTTTATTTAGATAACCGAAATAATCAAACGGTCGAACTACATAAAGACACTATTATTTTCTATTAATATATTTTTTATGTACATTTATTTTAGTAGAAAACTATAAACATATTAAATATTAAATGAAATGTTAAAATATTAATTTATAATTTGATTAATTACAAATTCACCCATGAACTCAATTGTAATTTAGTAAAATTGTTGAAATTGTAATTAAGTCCCAACATGTTATCAAATTTACAAACCCTAGCCCTTCTCTCATTACTGTACAATCTGGTCAAATCTTTCCCGCAAGCCCCGCCGGTGCCGACGACAACCTCACCTTGCGGCCACCGGACCTCCACTGACCGACCTCCAACTCTGAGAACATCACCCTATCGCTGACAAGCTCACTCTGCCGCCGATGACCGTCCCTAAAAAATTGCCCGAATGACCGAGTTCGCCGGCGAGCACCATACCCGCGGCCACACGCCGCTGCACTCTGAAGTGGCCGCGCCGTCGTCGTCGGGGAGCACCACACCCGCTGCAGCCACCAGTGGACCTTCGCCTGTCAACAACCACGACGTCTATGTCCGCTCACCGCTGCAACAGGCTTCTTCAGTGGTCACGACATCACCGTCGTGAGCATCTCCTGCTCGGCGGAGTGTTTTATGGTGGGACGGCAGGTGGCAGACGGATAGAGACGGCGGCGGGCGGCGATCGGCGGTGGATGGTGGGATCTGGCGATGTCGGGGCAGTGCTGGGTGAGGTCGGAGACGACGGGCAGTGGCTGTGGGCTGGAGCACCGCCATCTGTGGCCGTGTGTGTGTGTGTGTGACCTGTGTGCGTGCGTGAAAAAGTAGATCTGTTGTGTGTGTATTTGTGTGTGTGAGATGAGGGAGGGAAAAGGTTAATGGTGGGGCCCACAATTAGTGTTTGATTAATTAATAGATGTGTAATGCCTAGTTTACTCTTGTTGAGTGGTAAAAATCATATATTTGACCACTATTTATATATTTATTTACCGTATTGCCACTCATATTTAACTATTATTTATTGAATTTTGACTTGATCATGACCATTAGTTTGGTAGATCCAATGGTGCAGAATCATTCTTATTTCTTTCATTATCCTCCTTTCTCATATGATCCCTTCTCTCTCTCTCTCTCTCTCTCTCTCTCTATATATATATATATATATATATATAAGTGCGCTCAAATGAGAATGAAGCATAATGAAAGAAATAAGAATGATTTTAGACCATTAGATTCATCACATAAATGGTCATAATCAAGTTAAAATTTATTTATGTCAGCCAACATGTGGTGGCATTGTGGTAAATAAATAAACATATTATGGTCAAATACATAGTTTTGACTACTAATTAAGGGTAATTTAGACATTTGTTGTAAAATACACTGTTTGTTGTGTTTTTGTGCTTATTTTTGTGAGTTTTTTGTGCCTTAGTCGAGTCTTTTTAGGTTCATTTTAGAGTTGACCGGTTTATTTTATCGTACTTCGTGTATTTTTCCATTCGTTATGTGTTTTTGTGTTTTGCCGTATTTTTCTTGTCTGGTGTTGATTAGGTCCATATTGAGAAGCTTGGGAAGACATACCATTTTCAAGTCATTTCCGAGCCACCCAAACCATTTCGAGCCATCCCGGAAGATATTTGAGTAAAGACCCACGATCATGCTGCCAGGCCCAATCCGTGACCCCAATGTATTTTCGCAATGTTGCGCATGCGCACCCGGCCTATTCCGCGACTCCAATGCAGTTTCGAGGCGTTACGCGTGCCTATGCTCATACCAAAGCCGCGACCTCAATTCCATTTCGCGACGTTGCGCATGTTTATTCTCCTACCAAGTCCACAATTCGCGGCCCGAACCTCGTTTCGCGATGTTGCGCGTTCAGTTTCTACTAAATGTGTGTGTTTGTAAGACACTTCCCCTCAATTTCCCACTTGGGGTTGGGAAAAATTTCTCCCATTTTCTCTCTTTGTTCTTTCTCTTGGTGAGGAGGTGCACACTTGACATTTTCTGGGGACTTTTCCGGTAACTTTCCGGCGACTCTCTTTTTATCTAAAATTCGTTCTCTGCGCATTATTTTCGTTCAATTTTCTATAGGAAAATAGGTACCTAGCTTAGGGCTTATTATTTCGATTTGTGAATTGATTGGAATGGTGTGTTTGGGATCGTTTTTAGACCTTGCCTTATTTTTATTGCTTGCCTACGTGTGTTAGGATTCGATACGTGCTTATCTAGTATAGAGGTCCCGACTTGCTCGAAGCTGGATGATCTAGTGTAGAAGGCTCGCGTTAGGATACCTAGGATCATTAGGCTCGCATGCTTTCTTTTTGTTATTTTTTATTTTCGTCAAGTGTGGAGACTCCGTGCAACCAATGTTCGATCTTTCTTTTGATTCTTGCATTTTCATCAATTGTTCTTAGGTTACTAGTGTAATTTAGTGCAATCAAAACCACAATCAAGCGAGTAGAATGTTTAGGACCTCATTTTCGGTCTTGTGAATTGACGACTAGATAGTAAAAGAAGCTCCAAAGAGCCTTCCTTTGAGAACGACACGAGTCAGGTAACTTGGTTACCACATGCCCAAAAATACTACAAACAAAATGGCGCCTTTGCTGGGAAAGGCGAGTAGGACGCCAAGTTTACCATCTAGTTGTCATTTGTTTACGTGTTTCTCTTGCTTTTTGTGGACTTTTCTTAATTTTGCGTGTGTCTCTTTATTATTTGCTTATTTTCAATTTCTCTTAATTTATAGTATGTGTGTTCTTGTGAATATCATGTCGTGTTAGTTTTGTTTTTGTATTTTTCTTTTCTTTGCCTCGTGTGCCTTTGGGTTGTTTTGTTGTTCTTGTGCGAGGTGTTTCGCTTGAGGAGCTCCGATGGATCAATTCAGCTATTCTTATGCCGGTAGCTCGTCTCGTGGACACCCCGACAATTATCAAGAGGAGATGTACATGTATGAAGGGCCGCCCTATCCGTATCCGAGCTATTCACCTTCTTATTCGTATGACTGATACTCTACATCCCAAGGGTATGGCCCGAATAATTCCTACCAGGCATCTCAAGGCGATTATGGTTATTACACTCCTAGTCACGACGAGACGCCTCACTTCTATCCCCCGGCCCCCGATTTTTATGATGCAACACCTCCCCTCGAGCCGACTCGAGAAGCTTCTCCAAGCGTTTTAGACGAGATTATGAAGAATTTGGAGAAGTGAAATCAATCCCTCCGCGCTTCAATGGCTCCCATATCCGAAAAAGAAGAAACCGAGTCCTATGCTCCACCCTCTCCATCATACGAGCACATATCGGTTGGCCAACCTTGTACATCGAGTGTCGACGCTTCAATTCCAATAATGGTTGAGCCTACCGATCGTCACCGAGAGGTTTTGACGAGAACTCAAGAGGCACTTTCGAGCCTTATGTCGATCATTGAGGAGTTTCATAGTTGGAAGTGCATTCCCATTCCATCTGTTCCTCAAGCAACACTTACGAAGTTCGACTCGACCGTGGTAGCCTTTCTCGACATGGACGCATCTCACATTCCGCTCGGTAGATATTGTTCTCTATCGGTGAGATTTATTCGAGAGAGTACTCGGTTAGAGGGCGAGTTTCAAGCTATAGTGGATAGGTTTGCCTCCTTGAAAGAGATGGGCCTCACTCTCGTTTATGATGGAACACAATCTCTCCACACGAGTGAGGACATCGACGATTTGGTTGTTAAGGAATTATCCTCTCTTGACGATTCGGCCGTGCACTCAACGTTAGGTACGTCAATTTTATATTTCGGTGAAAATGCTTGGACTTTTGATTCTATTGTTGACGGTGAGTGTCTGGATTCGGGATATGAAATGATGTATGGAGTGGGAGAGAACTTATTGGGGGATTCGGTTGTACCGAGCAGACTTGATAGTGCTCGGGAGAATGATTTTGATTAGGAGGATGGGGTAGTTGATGATGTTGTGGATGTTGTTGAGGAGGATGCCGAGTCGCTATGTGATGTCGTGGACCCGAAGATTGCATTGATTGAGGAGACGACTCGGGATGTTGGGTATGAAGTGGTTCTGATGACCTTTTATTGAGGATCGTGACCATGTGGAGGAGTCTAGCGTGTTCACGTCCATGCTCCTGATGCTTGAGATCGATGAGTACGCATCCGAGATGATACATATGACGTCCGGGATCGATTCGACGTGCTTCATGGACATTTTCATATTTCCGGAGGTCGAATATGGGGCCTTGGTTCGTAAAGAATTATCTCTTCTCTTGGTGGTTATTGATATCCGTGCTCGGTTTAAACAGCCACGAGAGGTCATTGGGCCCGCCTTTGTTCCATTCTCCCGGCCCGTCTACTTTTGGAGAATACAAAGGCGTGGCATGAACGTCATTTCTTTTTGGACCCCAGTTGATTTTGGTAGAGAACGTCGAGCTCAAGACGTTAAAATGAGCGCTTCGTGGGAGGCAACCCACAATTTTTGCTTTTTCTCGTAGGCAACCCACGGTTTTTGCTTTTTCTCGTTTTTTGCTTTCTTTCGAGAATAAATAGCCCCACAAATACACCGCACACGATATGCTCAAATAAGAAAAATAGGAGTTGGGCGAGAATCGAGCGCAAAGGGTGCTCGAAAGTTGAGTTGAAAGTTGGGGTTGAAAAACAAGTGAAAAATATGCCTAAGTATGGAATTTGAACTAAGGGTGCCATGGATACCCCATTCGCGGCCCGAATTATGATTCGTGGCCTGGCGAACTCAAATTCGCAGCGCGAACCACATTCCGCGACCCCGCGAGCTCACAGCCACCTGTCCATGCCCTTTTCAGCTCCCTACCACTCGCGACCCGAATTGCATTCGCGACCCCACGAAACGGCGTTCGCGACGCGAACCATATTTTGCGACGTCGCGAATGAAGGCCATGCACCTGCTACCTCTTCTGCCCCATAGTGCTCGCGACCCGAGCTCGTTTCCACGACGCCGCGACCACATTCGCGACCCGAGCATACGTTCGCAATCCTGTGAGTGCCCAGGCCCAGTAGCAGCCCTTCATCTTCTCCAACTTTCTGGCGCCACCGCGCGCCACCGCCTGCCGCCACTTTTTCCAGGCAACTTGCTCCAATTTTGGAAAATTTTATATCAACGCAAAGCTCTCTTCGACGCCGACGACATAACCGAGTTTTAAGTGAAAATTCCGGCAATAAGGCCTCCGATTTTCCAGCAAAAGGTAATAGATATATAGATCTTACCGGTTTTTTTTTTTCAATTTCCTGGCGACTCAGTGAGACCCACAAAAATCCGAGGACACCTTTGGAATCCCCTCGTCGAGGCGCACTGGATTTCGGCCACCTTCGTCGGTTCTGGCGAACTTTTCCGGCGACCTATTTTCCGGCCAAAATTCACTCACCGAGCCCCCGATTCGCTGTTTTTCGTCATTTTCTTACCAAACCTTCATGGATTTTTCAATGGAGGTGCATTTTCCGGCAACCGGAGCTCTGAGCCATGCTCATCTCTCTTTTCCCACATTCCGGCACCATATTTCCCGGCGAGCTTCAAGGTATTATGTCTTTTTCGATCTTCCGTGATTATTGGTTGTTCGGGATGATGTGGAATACTACTCTTGCCGGAGTAGT